TGCCCGCCACGCCCCCCCTCCCCCCCCCCCCCCCCCCCAATGGCCTCCATCACCAGCTGGTTCCCCTCCCGGCTCCGTGCTTCCCTGTGCTTACTGAGACAGAGCTGCGAGGTTTTAAAAATGGCGCCCAAGATGGTGGCCGTCTTAAAGGGGCAGCCTCCTTTTTAAAAAAAAATATTTTTTTGTTTTTGTTTTTGCTCCACAAATCTGTTCTGGGGGAGGAGAACGGGGGGCTTTTTATTTTTCTTGACAATTCTGGTGAGGCTCTTCGCATGTTTTCCACTGCTGTTTTCGCTCTCTTTGTTAAATGGGTTGGCCACCCCTGCACTAGAAACTAATTTATGAGGTTCCAGTTGCAAAGGAAAGGCTAGATAACAATTTAACCGGGAGTATTCTAAGCACATTTAAGAGAAAAAGTCCTGTTTTAAATAGCAGTCAATGTAGTAACACGAAGCGTGTAGTACTTTGGCAGAAAGAAGTTTAGCATAATTCTTGCTGTGTGCACAGATGATCAAATTTGCATGCAAAAAAAAAAAAAGAGCAATGTGGAAGAAAGGTTTGGGGCCTATACACTCTCTCTGTGAGTTTTAACGTGTTCAGCCCTTTCCTCTCTGCTTTTGCAGGATGTGAAGGAGTGAAGTGATCGCTTCCCCTTCTCTTCGCCCCGTCTGACATGATGACTGCTCGTCATCGGGCAGTACGTGGTAGCCCCGGGCAATCCTAGATCGTTGCTTATTGTCTACTTACGTGGCTAAACCCCCTTTAGGGCAGCCCACAAATGGCAGGGGGAAGTAAAAGTGGCCCGACCCATCCTCTCTCACGGGCCCCAGCCCAGGGCCCTTAGGACAGATTCTGCTAGGGTCCTGACCGACTGGTGGGGCTTCTGGCCATAACTCACCAGTCCATGGGCTACTTCCTACCCCCTCTCAGGGTTGATGAAGGATAGTTCTCCTTCTCTCCCCCCGTTTCCTTTAATCTAATCCTTCTGGCCCTCCAACCTCCTTACTTCTTCGTACCTCTTCCCCCTCTAGCCCTCCGACCTTCTTCCTCTTTTAAACATGGCACCAGCCCACGTTGGTGCCCCTCCCCCTGACGTCGGGGACGCATGTTCCCCAAGGGCACGCCCCATCCCATGAGTGTCATCTCCCCGGGCGCTTTCCCAGACGTGGAGTTTGTGGCTTTCTGGGGCTGGGAGCTGCGCTCCCCATGCAGCACGGGGCTCAGCACGGTCCTAGTGCAGGACGGGTCGACGCTGCCACTGTGGGGTGATGCCGCCGCATCACACAGAGGTTTATACTGAGTTGGTCCTACCAAAAATTTCTTTATCGAAAGGCCATCACCACATTTTTCGCCAGCAAGCTTAAAAAAATCAGGTCATGTAATAGTACTACAGGTTGAACCTCTCTAGTCCGGCACTCTCTGGTCCAGCAACATTCGTGGTCCAGCATGATTTCAGTGACCCGGATGCCCACTTGCCATGGGTGTCCCCACGTTTCCCGCAGTCCCATAAAGTTTGTTTACCAATCCTGGTTCTCAGTGTTCTGTGTTGTTAGTTGGCTCTAATTCACCCCAAATGTCTTCTAAGAGTAAGCAGTGCAAGTGTGGGTAATGCTTCTAGACAATATTGACCTCCCGTGATTCAGCAGATTCTCTAGTTCGGCACCAGTCAAGCCCTGTGGGTGCTGAACTACAGAGGTTCAGCCTGTACTACTCTTATAGGGAGGTTTTCATTCATGCATCTGAAAGTGCTTTACAACAGAGAGGGAAACTGAGGTACAGAGATGAGAAGTGACTTATTCAAGCTTATTCAGCATGCTGGTGATAGAACTCAAGTTTCCAATCTTCTGGTTCGTGACTAGTCACTGGGCCATATGGTCACCCCACTAAGCCCCTGGGAGACCTAGAAGACCACAGGAGAATTTATCTGAGGAGTTGAATCAAAATACAGGACTATGTAGCACTTTAAAGACTAACAAGATGGTTTATTAGGTGATGAGCTTTTGTGGGCCAGACCCACTTCTCATCACCTAATAAACCAACTTGTTAATCTTTAAAGTGCTACATAATCCTGTTTTTTGATTCAGCTACACCAGACTAACATGGCTACTTTTCTATCACTTATCTGAGGGAAAATGCAGGACAATGTAGCACTTTAAAGACTAACAAGATGGTTTATTAGATGATGAGCTTTCGTGGGCCAGACCCACTTCCTCAGATCAAATAGTGGAAGAAAGTAGTCACAACCATATATACCAAAGGATACAATTAAAAAAAATGAGGGGTGTGTGAGTAGGGCTGTCTGCCGAAAGTGTGCTGAGTGCTGGGTGAAAGAAACAGGCACTTTCTGTAGATGGCTATTGCCATGTATGCAAATGAGAGTGGTCACAAATGTGTATGCATTTCCCTGAAAATCTGGGTTTGAAGGAATTCATAATCTGCCTTTTTTCCTCCCCAAAAGCTTAGCTTTCAAATGTTGTTTGCAGTTTTGCTCTCATGTGGCGGGTGTGCACCAGGCTTTCAGAGCGTCATAGTCTTATTCCTAGAATATTTTGTTTTACTCCTAATGGTCTCTTGGTTTTTGGCTAAAACACACAGAGTTCCATTTTGCTTTTATCTTTTGCGCTTTTATCTTCATGCATTGTGGGCATGACTCTCCGCTGATGGGAAATGGCCACGTTCCACTGAAGTCAATGCAGAGTATTTTATAGAGCGTCCGTAAATAGCTCCCACTGCTCTGGCCAGCCCTGGACAGCCTGAGATGATACATGTAATGGTTGGAAGTGCACTGTCTCTTGGGGAGGGGGAAGGGAGGAGCAAACACCACCACCCTTGCAGGCGTGGCCCTATAGAAACTCCAGTGAGTTCACCAGGAGAAAACTGGTGGAGTTCCGTTCAAACAGATCCGGGGATGAGAGGGACAGCAGAAAAGAGGGAGGGGAGTTGGTTGCAGGAACAACTTGTTTCTTTGCTGCTCCTGGTCATGGTGGGCAGCTTTTTGGGATCTTTCTATATTCCAAGGCGATTCCAGCATTGCCAGGTTACCAACACCAGTGCAAAAATGCTCTCTCCTGTCAGGAAGGGGAGACTGGTTACAAATACCCAGGCAGGGTTATTTTTGTAATCCTAGTGATTTGTGGGCATCGCGAGAACGCTCACCATTAGCACAGCTGAGCGCTCAGTTAACCAGATTGTTTCCAGGACGTTCGTATCCTTTGCATTATTTTTGCCCTCAAGCAAGTCCTTGAATAGATGCATGATATTTGACTTTAGTTCTTCTAATGCAGGGGTAGGGAACCTTTTTTGGGTCGGGGGTCACTGACCTGCAGAAAAAAATTGTCAGAGGCCACACCAGGTGAGAAGCAGGGGGACTGGAGCACCAGTGGAGGCTCCTCAATGCTATAGGGGGGACCCTGAGCCTCAGGAGCTGGAATCAGGCAAGCTGAGGGCCACCCCCCTGTTCTAATGAATGTGGCAGATTTATCAGCAACTTATGAGCAGCTCTGACCATTCATCAGTCATTAGCAAGGCATCATAATAACACTGTAATCCAGTGTTTCCCAATTCTATGTGGCCACGGAACCCTTAAAAAATATGCCAGGGGAAACTGGTTGACCGAAAAAAAAAAAGATGGAAAAACTCAAGCAAAAAAAAAAAAAATGCCCCCGGCCTGCCCCTGAGACCGCGGCAGCCAGTGGTCCTTTGAAAATGGCAGCCCCGGGCAACTGCCCAGCTTGCTCACCCCTAAGACCGGCTCTGGGGGTGGGGGGGAGTGATCGGGTTCTCGCGGAACCCTGACTTTCACTTTGCGGATCCCCGGGGTTCTGCAGAGCACTCTTTGGGAAACACTGCTGTAAGCAGTCCGTGGGCCCCTAGGAATCTCACCATTTTCACTCAAGCTGAACATGCTAGTCGAAGAGAGTAACAGACAAGATTTCCAAAGATAGATGTTAGAAGCCAGGTTCCTAAGCCCATAATTAGGCACCCAAAGCAGAGGCATGGTCTTCAAAAGTTCTGACCAATGGGGTGTTCCCTTTGCATCCTTGATAATTGACGTGGGTATGGTCAGGCCCATAGCTCCAGCAAGGGTGACACACACCTCGCATGGCTTCTATTTCCTTCTCGTCTCTTCTAGGCAGTGCTGGTCGAAATGGCTGCCAAGCTTTTTGTTCTAATCAACTGGCCCGATGGCAGCCGCGTGATCAACATTGAAAACATCAAAGAACCCCGGAAGCCGTTTCATCTCTACACAGTCGGGGAGCAGGTGCTCGCCCGCTGCCCCGGCTTTAGTGGTCTGTACTGGGGGGTTGTGGAAGGCATAAGCGGTAAGTGATCATTTCTCCGTCCGAGGTCTTCTGATCGGGTGCATCCTCTAGCAAGAAAATGAATGCTGAAAATCCTTTTCTTCCAACAGAGCAGAAAGACATCTTAGAGAAAAGGCTGCAGGGAGATAGACAAGTCTTTGAGAAGCTAAGTAAGTATGGACTTTTGCGCTGGAGGATTCATACATCGCAGGTAGGGTCGGGCTGGAGGAAAGTTCTTATATACATGTGTTGGGTTGGATCACAGGAGTCCCCTGGGGGTTGTCACCCAGTGTGCTGATCCTGCCACCGAGCCCACCACCCTGTCCCAGTGGGCCCGAAGTTCTTGTCTCCTCCAGCCAAAGCCCAGAGATGGGGTGACAAAGCCACAGTATCACTGAACCAGCTCAGCTCTGGAAGGGCTCAGCTATAGGGCCCTGACAGCACCCAGGAACCTACTCCCGAAAATGGACCGAAACCCCCAATAAATCTCTCTTACCCTGTATAAAAGTTTTACATGGAGAAAGCTCATAATGATGTTCGCCCCCTTTATTGATGAAAGAGAGAGAGATGTGCTACGGGTGCTTCCCCCCGCTCCGCCCCGAGTAACAGCTCTTTACACTGGGTTTGATAAGAAAGAAAGGTGTTTTCATGAAGTATAAAAAGTAGGATTTAATTCAAGGGTTGGCAATAACAGGGTAGTGGTTCACTAGGGTTAGGCCCTGGTGGGCCGCCGCTGTATTTACCTGCAAGGCTGCAGATACTGGCAACACAGCTCTCATTGGCCATGGATTGTGGCTCCTGGCCAATGGGAGTGGCAGGAAGTGGCGCGGACTTGGGATACCACTTCCCACAGCTCCCATTGGCCGGGAATGGTGCTTTGCAGTCAACAGGAGCTACGATTGCCCGCAGCTATGGCCCTGCAGGTAAATATAGTGGTGGGGGCCTGCCAGGGACTAACTGGCAGACGGGATCTGGCCCGCGGGCTGGTGTTTCCTTCCCACGGTGTAGCAGGAGTGAGAACACTGCTGTGGGAAGCAGGGCGTTAGGTGTGGGATGCTGCAATATGTGTCATTGTGGTGTCGCTTTCAGAAGAAGAACCAGCAATGCACAGTGGCTTGCAACCTCAGCCTAAGAAATCAAGGAAGACATTTCCAAAATGGATGCCAGGAAGCTCCCCTCGCAAATACAACGATGACCGGAGCTTCTCTGCCAAACCGCTGGGAGAGGATGAAGACGTGGGTCTCCCGCGTGATGCTGCTGTCTCCTCTCTCTTAAAGGAGAGGCGCATCCTGAGTAGCATGACCAGATCCCCCTGCACCATGTCAGCCCCTCATCCCTCGTCCGCTGCCTTCAAAACACCATCTCCATTCCTGACCCTGGCTGTGCCGCTAACATCCCAAAATGAAGAAGCAAGACCTGGCACAGCTGGCAGAGGTGAACCAGCTGGGATTATCGTGTGTGAATGAGTCCAATGTTGTATTTTATTCCATTCCCCTCTATTTTTTTTTTAAATTTTAACATCGGTGTTAATGAAAATGTGAGGGAAGGGCCCCAAGTTCCTGTTTCTTTGCAACAGGGGTTGCAGGCCAATGCACATCTGCATTCCCTGGATGTGAAAACTACCATGGGGAGAGTTTGGTCTTCTCCATCCTTGGGGGTGTCTTCTCCAGGGGGGCTGCTTAACCAGGCGATGACTTTCTGTAGAGGCTTTTGTGTGATCCAAAGCGTGCTGAGCTCCCCGGCTCTTTTCTCAGAGGCTCACAATTCTTTCCACACAAGTGAATGAAGAACACTCCTATTATAATGCATTTGTTGAATTATAAAAAACCCCAGTGTGCTGACTTGAACAGCTGACCTCTTTCAGGTTTGCTTATCAGTCCCTCCATTTATACACACATACTAAAACTCCATGGCCTGATCTACACTAGACCAGGAAGGGTGGTTTAAGAAACTCAACTCCAGCTACACAAAATGCAGAGGTGGAGTCAGCTTACCTTAAGCCGAGCCTTGGCGAAGTCCACAAGTGGGAAGCTGATGGGAGCAAACGCTCCGATCAGCTTCGCGTACTCCTCGTGAAAGGAGGAGTATTGGATGCTCGTGAGAGCTGCCCTCAGTGTATGATTTATGGGTCTGTACTAGACCTGCTAAATCGAATGCCAGAAGATCGATCTCTAGTGCGTCGATCTTCCAGTAAGTATAGATGTGCCCTGTGAAAGTAACAATGTTGTTTTCTGTGTATTTGTTGATGACTACACTAGTGACCATACACGTTTTCATTTTCATGATTCAAAAAATTGGGTTTGTGTAGTATGTAAACGAGAAGACCGAGAGGGAACATGATGACAGTTTTCAAGTACCTAAAAGTTTGTTACTAGGAGGAGAGAGAAGAACTGATCTCAACCTTTGAGGATAGAACAAGAAACAATGGGCTTAAGTCGCATCAAGGGTGGTTTAGGCTGGCCAAACTGGACAGTCTCTATGGGAAAGAATTAATGGAGACAAATTAGATATCCAAAAATGCAACACACAGAAACCTGTTGGAGAACACTTTAACCTGCCTGGGCACTCATTAATGGATCTCAAAGTCACCATGTTGTTTCAGGCCAATTCCACAAGAGAGATACACAGGGAAGGGCTGGAACTTAGCTTAACCAACTAAAAAAAGGGCACTTAGAGCAGGTGCAAACTGTTCTTATCAGCTTCTTGTAACTTGAACACTCTAATTCACATTTTTTCTCGCTTTCTCCCCTCCACTCCTTTCCCTTATTTATTCTTGGATCTGGACTTTTAATGCTCTATTAATCTGAAGAAGTGGGTTGTACCCACAAAAGCTCATGATAAATTACCTAGGGAGGTTGTGGAATCTCCATCATAGGAGATTCTTAAGAGCAAGTGAGACAAACTCCTGTCAGGGATGATCTAGATGGTGCTTGGTCCTGCCATGAATGCAGGCAATTGGACCAGATGACCTCTCAAGGTCCCTTCCACTCTTTTAATTCTATAATACATGCTCCCTTTCCCCAGTTTCTTTACTGATGGCACCAAGCCTTGCTTTAAATATTGTGGTTGAATTACAACTATATATGGTGACTAAGGTTTTTCTTTCTGCCTGTAAGAAATATCCCAACAGTTCAAGCCAAAGACATCATGTTTGGTTCATTCTGTTGATAGCTTGGGACCATCAAGTAGAAGTTCTTAGATGAAGATGCTCTGAAGACCAATGGATCCAGGGGATGTCAATTTCACATTTGTCTTTTGCTTCTTGCTCCAACTCTCTTTCTAGATTACATCACCCGGCCAGTGAAAAGGAAGTCCGAAGGCATTCTAGCTCAGTGTCAGCAGCACATCTATACTAACAGGTAGTATTCCCACAACAAGGACACTGAACATTTCAAATTGCCTCTCTTAGACTCCACTTGTGGTTCAGTAGTTGTGTTTCCATTTCCTGATGCTGTTTGCTTCATAGGGCATGTCTACACTGCACCCCACATCTACACAAGCCAACCATTATTTTGAAATATTTTTTTGAAATAACGGGCGTGCTATTTCACCATCCTCGTAAACCTCGTTGCACGAGAGATAAGGGATGGCCCGAAATAGTGCGTTATTTAGAAATTTGGTGCTGTGTAGACGTGCCAAATTTCAAAATAGGCAATTTTGAAATATATTTGAAATAAGATACGCAATCTGCGCTATGCAAATTGCGTAACTTATTTGAGTTTAGGGTGCTGTGTAGATGCACCCATATAGATTGGTTTGTCCTGGCTTCTTGACAAAATTTTGAGGAAAAGGAGGAGTCCCGGAGGAGAGTTGCCTATTCCAAACCCCAAAGGATTCATGAAAGACAAAGCGGAAATGAGGGGAGTTTTCCTACCTTCCACATACACAGAACCAGAAATGGCCCATAATTACACCAGCGAAAATCCAGAATAACTCAATTGAAGCCATAGTTAGGGCCTGAATTTCCACTTCCCTGCACTCATCATTTAAGCATGAACCAAATCATACATCTTCTTTGCATTTGTGTTGTAAAAGACGACACACATGTAAGCTAGTAGGGAATCAAGCTCATAATATGTAACGTATTTAAAGAGCCAATATTTTCCATGGAAAACCCAGGGCGGGACAATTCTGAAATTCATGCCCACTGATATCTACCGTGTTTATTTGGGATTCCACATGAAAATGGATGTGATTGGATTTTCATAGAACATTGTTGTTCACTTTAGACCACAGAGCACTTGCCAAATATGAAGCATCTTTTCCCATTGTTTGTTGGTCTTTGTTTCTTTTTTTTTTTCTAGCTTTGATGAACCAAAGACTGAAGGTTCCCCAGAAACAGGTGATTTTGAAGTAGCCCAGAAAGATTTTGGCTCTGGTGAAGTGGAAAGGTAATTAATGAAAGATGAAATTACAGGTACTCACACATAGACACATTTTCCTCGGTATTCTGAAAACAGAGGCATTCATAGGCAGTGTTCTCCCATTCTTTTCCATCCACGTGTGGAATAAATTTTATATGTGCACCAAGACATGTGTGGATGTGTACCACCAGAAGAAACACAAACATAGCTGAGGGTGCTCTGCTAATCAGCTGGGCAGCATTTGAATGTCTCCTGACAAACACGTGGCTTACAGGGAACACAGATACAGATTAATGCTGCCCAATAACATTTAGCAATTGCTAGACCCTCCACCCACATTGTAAGAATTGAGTCAAAGCCTCTTTCAGATCTTAAGGTTTATAAGCTGGTGTCATGATGTGTTGGCTTCAGAATATCGCAGCATTGCATTAACAGGTGTGTTGTGAGCAAGACACGAGAAGTCATTCTTCCGCTTTACTCTGCACTGGTTAGGCCTCAGTTGGAGTATTGTGTCCAGTTCTGGGAACCGCATTTCAAGAAAGATGTGAAGAAATTGGAGAGGGTCCAGAGAAGAGCAACGAGAATGATTAAAGGTCTAGAGAACATGATCTATGAGGGAAGGATGAAGGAACTGGGTTTCTGTAGTTTAGAAAAGAGAAGATTGAGGGGGGACATGATAGCAGTTTTCAAGTATCTAAAAGGGTGTCATAAGGAGGAGGGAGAAAACTTGTTCATCTCGACCTCTGAGGATAGAACGAGAAGCAATGGGCTTAAACTGCAGCAAGGGAGGTTTAAATTGGACATTAGGAAAAAGTTCCCAACTGTCAGGGTAGTCAAACACTGGAATAAATTGCCCAGGGAGGTTGTGGAATCTCCATCTGTGGAGATATTTAAGAGTAGATTAGATAAATGTCTATCAGGGATGGTCTAGACAGTATTTGGTCCTGCCATGAGGGCAGGGGACTGGACTCGATGACCCCTCGAGGTCCCTTCCAGTCCTAGTATTCTATGATTCTATTCTATGATATCTCAGCTCTTCATGTTGTGAACATCAGGACTTTAACAGGGTTCAAAAAATATCTAGATAAATTCATGCGGGATAGGTCTATCAATACTACTTAGTGACGGGAGAGTGATCACTTGATGATTTTCTGTTCTGTTCACTGTCTCTGGGGCACCTGGCATCGGCCACTGTGGGCAGACAGAATATTGGGCTAGATGGACCTTTGGTCTGACCCAGTCTGGCTGTTCTTATGTTTATCATTTCACCTTCAGTTTGACCTCTGTCCCACCCAAACATTGTGCTATCTCACTGTTATTATGTTTTCTTGCATCAGAAATGTCTGACCATGAAACTGACCCCAGAAGCCATTTTATTCTAAAGTTCTGAATCTCTTGTTGTGTCGTGTTTCCTGCACTGCTCTTCTCTGCACTCCTATCACTTGGGGGGCGGGTCTTATTTCACTCTGTGATAACCTGCCCACTAGAACATTGAGAGTCAGGCCAAATTGCCTAGCGTCTCTACCTCAAACTTCCTCCGAAGCTTAAAGCAAAGTGAAATGGAAGGTCAAATCATTAGGTGCTCACCCAGGCAAACTCCGATTGGCTTAACTAGTACAGTAAAACTCCAATAGTCTGGCATCCAATAGTCCGGCACTCCTGATAGTCCGGCATCAAAACGGCAAGAGCCTAGTGAGTCACAAGGTAACAGCAGCAGCAGCTGAACTGAGCAAAAAGGGTAAAAAAGGCTTAAAAAAACTAAAACATTACAGTATACAGTACAATAAAAAGGGTTAAGAACACTTTATATATAGTATATAATGTATACAGTATATATAACCAGTTTATAGTACCTCCTGATAGTCCGGCATATCTGATAATCCGGCACCATTTAGGTCCCATAGATTCCGGATTATCGGAAGTCTACTGTATTATGAGACAGCGTGCGCTTCCCAGTCCAGTTTTACAGACGCAGGTTGCTTGAGTATTCAGTGGGCAATGACATCACACCCATTGCTAGCTGATGGAGAATGGTGCTTTGAGCCAAGCCTGCCTGTTCTCTGCTTTATTTTGTTGTCTAGGACTGAGAAGATTGAGCAACTGGAGAGACTCATATTAGACCTCCAGCGAGAGGTCGTCTCCCTGAAACGCAAGGTGCAGAGGCTGGAGTCTCTGTCCTTCCAGGAAGAACCCTACAGGCAGCCATGCGAGGTGGTGGAACTGTTTAACGGCTACACAAAGGAGCAGTTAAAAGAGGCCATCCGATTCGACCAGAAAATCAGCACAGCTTGCAAAACACTCCTCTACAAGCTGTTCACGTCCGACTACATACAGAGCCACTCCATCACGGGCAGGAGGGGGAACACCTTTCGGGAGGCTAAGCCCATGATGGATGAGCGGTGCATCAAAATCATTCGGGTGTTGCTGAAGCAGAAGTTTGGGGACCACCTGAGTGACACTGTCATCACCGAGAAAATCCAAAATGTGCAGAAAGCCCTGAGGCAGAAATTTAAAACTGAATGTCTCTGAGAAGCAGGTGATTCCATCGCTCTTTTCCAAGGCAACGCTGTGCTCTAGAATCCAGTGCACCGAGCAGTTTTTCCAAAACGTTGCTTTTCCTCTGTTGATTTGCTGATTCGGCCTCTGGGTTTCGCCGGGAAAGCTCGGTGAAATATCTTCTGGAAAACAGCACATCATTGCGGCTGAAAAGTCGGTTTGCGTTCACACAGCAGGGCCTTTTTACTCGGCATTTTCCAAGTTTGACATCATTTTGCAAAACCCCTCTGGTTTACAAGTCAGGCCAGAGTGTCGCTAGTTTGGTTCCATGTGTGATGAACAATTTTGGAGAGGAGCAAGACTTGGGCGGTTTCTACTGAAGAAGCCCCCAGAAATTTGGATGGGCAATTCAGTCTGATTCCTCTGTTTGAACACCTCGGGTGTGAACAACGATGCTGAAAATCTCACAAGAAGTAGATTTCAAACCTGCACACTTTAGGATGTGTATTCCAGACGGACGGGCTCAGCCTTAAGATAAACCATTACCACTACCTATGCACACACAGAGACAGATAGTATTGCAAATTCAGCTCAAACAAAGCTATAACCTCTGTGTGGACTTACGAACACCACCTGTAACCTTTTCGCTAGCCTCTGATTCCTCACTTTCTCATGGATTACTTTGGCAGTAAACAAGACAGAGAGGAAGGGTCAAAGGGAGAAACACACCACCAAACACTGAAAAGGGCTGGGAGAGACATTTTCTAAATCTCTCTCTCATAACACGCAAGGCAGTAGGCTGTCAATACCATCTGAAGCCTTGTATCGGAAGACCTCACCATTCATGGGAATGCATTCTTGAGATCACCGCAAATGGCAAAATCTGCAAACATTGGGGTGCGGAGAGGTGTTCCCAACACAAAACAAACACCTTTTCCCCACCCACTGCTGGTTTCTGGCAGTGATCATATACAATAGTGATGAATTGTGATTCTCATGCTATTTATGTGTGTCATATTCCCCGTGAGATTTCTGGGTAGCGTAGGGCTCAGGTATTAGAGTGTGCTGAAAAAGTGCCCTCCCACTGGGTCACATGGTTGGGCTGGTGCAGGGCAGGGCGTCCCGAATATGCGAAACCACAGGCACCGAAGCACTGAATGGTGAGGGCTTCCTGTTGTCGTCAGAACAAAAAATGTCACTGCGCAGGGCAATGAACGTAACCTGAACAAAAGCAACCTGTGTGAACTGTCCATGGAACTTAACAGGCTCTGGGCCCACCTGATCTTCACGGGGAATTTACATCCCTCTCCTTACTCAACCCTGCTTCACCCCTGTCAGCTGCAGGCCCCAGCTTCTGCCATGGCTAGAGCAAAATAAATCCCTTTGCTGCCACAAGTGTGTGTGTGGGAATTTCCTGTGGCAATAGTTAAACATTAAGGCCGTGTCTTCACTACACGGAAGATCGACGTTGCCACAATCGATCTTGCGGAGTGCGATTCAGCGAGTCTAGGTAAATCTCTAGGGGGTGATACAGAACCAGAGCATGTGTTTCTGGCCTCCAAAGGCCCTTGTAACAAATCAATCTCCATCTACTTCGGGGGGAAACAAATGTGTTCTGGGACATTTCCGGGCAACAGGTCATGTGGTCAATCCCTTTGCAGGAAACGGCACCATCTGACATGTTCCCTGAGGTACAGCAAACGTGCACAGGAAATGGCCGCCGTGACGCCACGCTGCTTTCAGCCTCCTCCCGTCTAGGCAGGGCCGGGCAAGGCCCTAATGAGAGAGGGGTCACATGCTTCCCTGTAGGCAAATGAAAGGCATCCTTATCCCCTCTCCATCCTTTGAGAAATGGTTCCCGGTGCAGGGTGGAGAAGGAAGACACGGGCGGCATTTAGTCACTGCCAGGTCACTGGCAGGGTATTATCAAAGGAAGTCAGGGTTGCTGAGATGCTCCCAGGCGTGAACCTACAGGTGGAGCACAGCAGAGGATCAAAAATGCCGTTAGGAAACCAGTGGTCTCACCATTGGGTTCTCTGGCTGCTCGATACCTTGTCAGGGACCTGAGGTGAAAGGGAGGTGGTACGACCTGGTGCAGCGCTTCGGCAAGCAACTGGCCGGCAGGGGCACTTAGATGCAAGGGGTAGAGTGGGGGGCTCCCAGCTCCCTGGACTTCCTGCAGGCTGCCCCGCTAGAAGCAGGCAGCCTGGCAGGTGAGAGGGGCTGGCGGCAGCAGGAGGGTGGGGGCCTGGGACTGCCCCCAGCCCAGAGTCCCCTGCCCTCCTGCTGCCATTTCAGGGTAGGGGGCTGCAGTCGCATTTAGCCCCAGTCGCTGAGTGGTTTTTTTTATTTTTGTTGGCTGGGGGAGCGAGGCAAAGTGCACACCCACTCAGCGTGGGGTAAGTGCTGCGGGAGTCCCCCTTCCCCCCACATAACCCAACACCCTGCCCTGAGCCCCCTCCTAATACCCTCCTGCTCTGAGCCCTCATGCCCCCCAGCCTTTACTCTTGCATTCCCATCCCCAGCTCTAAGTCCTTCACTCCCTGCATTCCACCCGCATCATGAGTCCCCTCCTCATCCCCCCTGCCCTAAGCCCCTCATGCACCCCAACCTTGACTCCTGCACCCTCCCCACCTCCCAGCCCTCTGCCTTGAGCCTCTCCTACACCCCAACCTCGACTCCTGCATTCCCATCTCCAGCCCTAACTCCTGAACTCCCCGAACCCGAACCCTCTGCCCTGATCTTCCTGTACTCCACCCCACACTTAAATTTCTTACAGGTACTGTGGTATGGCCACCCCTCCCCCCATACTATATTTAGCCAACCCCCCAGTGGGGTGGGTTTTGATAGGACAGTATCTTTAAGAAAAGTAAGTTACTTTCACCCCTGCAGAGAACATCACCTCATGCCAAGTGGTATCATCTTTCAGTGCTTTAACCGTTAGGAGGATGCTGTGGGTCAGAGCTACTTCAATGAGGGATGTTCAAAGACTCTCAAAGCCTGCCCATCCCCATTTCTCAAAAGCCTTCACCTTCCAGTCCTGGACAGGACTTCTGCTAAATACACAGGGTATTTTAATTCATAATCTCAGACAAGACATAACCAAGAGATCTTCTGCTAAATACACAGGGTATTTTAATTCATAATCTCAGACAAGACATAACCAAGAGATCTTCTGCTAAATACACAGGGTATTTTAATTCATAATCTCAGACAAGACATAACCAAGAGATCTTCTGCTAAATACACAGGGTATTTTAATTCATAATCTCAGACAAGACATAACCAAGAGATCTTAGCTACTCTGGGCTCAGAAAAGTTAGCCTTGTAGTGCCAGGCAAAGGCCAATGCAAAATGGATTTCAGTGAGTTTTGCCATTCATTCTAAAGGAGGCATGGGCCCTTCCTCCTCATTGGGGTGGGAGAAATTATGTGGCCCAGACTTTTTCAGTGAAAAGTGCAGATTTGGATTGACCAAACCAAATGGTTTCGGGTCAGGAAAAGAAAAAAATCAGAAAAAAAAATCCAAACCCACTTTTGACATTTAAAAATGAAAAGTTTCACACTTTTGATTATTTTTTGGGTTTTTTTCAACAGCTCAAAAGAGAAACAGAATTGTTTTGACCCCCAATTAATTTTGTTTCTTTACTTTTCAGTTCACTGAAACATTCTGATATTTTTGAAGTAGGGCTAAACAGACAATTGTTCGCACTGCTTTGCTCCTCATGCAACCCCCAGAATTATTCCCGCACCTCAAATTCTTCCTCTTGCTCTTCCCCTTGAGAAACAGGAGGTAAATCCAATGTCTGCCGAGGCCAAACCTTATTAAACTTCATCCTCTGTACCTTAAATGTTGAAAGGCTAAAATAAAGATTTTAAAAGGACATACACCATTAAACCAGGTGCTAACAGTTCTCTGAGTGGTATCCTTCCTGTCTTAGGAATCTATCTACTGACTTTGATTTTTATCTGCTTAAGTATAAGTACCCATTCTCCAGACACTTAATGATGCTCTGTCCCCCACCCCCCTCCCTATTTCTTTCTCTACCCCCTCCCCTTCCCCTCTCCTATTTATTTCGAGTTTTCATATCTCAAACTCATAACTCCGGTCATCTGAAGAAATGGGCTGTGCCCACTAAAGCTCATGATACTATCTTACATGTTTTGTTAGTCAATAAAGTGCTACTAGACAATTTGTTGTTTTTTTCTGTAAGGGTATGTCTACCCTAGCCTCCTAGTTCAAACTAGGGAGGCTAATGTAGGCATTCGAACTTGCAAAGGAAGCCCGGGATTTAAATATCCCAGGCTTCATTTGCATGTTCCCGGACGGGCGCCATTTTTAAATCCTCTTAGTTCAAACTGACTGCCTGCGGCTACACGTGGTAGTCAGAAGTTAATCTGAACTAAGTCCTTAGTTCGGATTAACTGTTACACCTCATTGCAGGAGGATTAACAGTTAATCCGAACTAAGGACTTAGTTCAGATTAACTTCTGACTGCTGCGTGTAGCTGTAGGCAGTCAGTTCGAACTAAGGGGATTTAAAAATGGCGCCCGCCCAGGACCATGCAAATGAAGCCTGGGATATTTAAATCCCGGGCTTCATTTTCAAGTTTGAATGCCTACATTAGCCTCCCTAGTTCGAAGTAGGGGGCTAGTATAGACATACCCTAACAAACTAACTCGGCTACCCCCTGAAGCTCATTAAACCAGTGATCACTTGCTGTTTTCTTATGTGAGCAGCTGTTCATAGGCAGGAGAGAAAGAAACTCAATATGTTCAAAGACACCTTTCTCCTTTGGCCCATTACTTGTCCTCGCTTTTTGAGAGGCCATTTTAGTAGTCCTAGGGGAAAACAAGGGGAAGGGAGGCATGAAAGGGAAACAAATTTGCAGAGACATGACGCATCAAACCTATCAAGGGTCCTGGTAATTGTCAGAAAGTGCCTATCATCCGAAAAAACACGGCCGGGTCACAGCTCCAGAACACCAGGGCTTCTAATCAACTCCACCTCAGCGTTTCACAGCTGGAATTGGAACTTTAGCAGATATGAGCACTCCATTTCCAGCTAGGCTCATAGATAACTGGCAATAACCCCACATCCAAGCTGACTTGGTTTGACCTCGGAAGACATTGGATTTACCAAAAAGAGGAGGAAGATGATGAATCTGAGGCACCGGTTGTGAGCAAGACACGGGAAAGCCATTCTTCTGCTGCACGCTGCACTGATTAGGTCTCAGTTGGAGTATTGTGTCCAGTTCTGGGCACCACATTTCAAGAAAGATGTGGAAAAATGGGAGAAGGTCCAGAGAAAAACAACAAAAATGATTTAAGGTCTAGAAAACATGAGCTATGACGAAAGACTGAAAGAACTGGGTTTGTTTCCTTTTTTAAAAGAGAAGACTGAGGCTACATCTAGACTGCAGGCTTCTTTCGGAAGAAGCTTTTCCGGAAGAGCTCTTCCAATAAAACTTCTGAAAGAGATAATCTACACAGCAAAAATGCATTGAAAAAACGATCTGCTTTTTTGAAAGATAGCATCCACGCAGAATGGATGCTCTCTCGCATTTAAGCTCTGAGTACTGTGAACGGAATGGCCCCCTCTTCCATGCTTTTTCCTCTACTTTTGAAAGAACTACCTCTTCCCCGTCCACACATGCCTGATTCTGAACAAGCTCTTTCAGAAAAAGGCTTCGTCCTTGTAGAAAGAGGTTTAACAATGTTGGAAAAAGCTCTCTGTTTTGTTTTTTGGTTTTTTTTTTTAAAGCATGCGATTGCAGTGTGGACGTAAGTGAAGTTTTACGTTTTTCAAAAAAACCTCTGCAGTGCAGACATACCCTGAGAGGGGACAGGATAGCAGCTTTCAAATACCTAAAAGGGTGTTACAGGGAGGAGGGTCAAAAACTGTTCTCCGTGACCTCTGATGACAGGACAAGAAGCAATGGGCTTAAATTGCAGCAAGGGAGGTTTAGGTTGGACATTAGGAAAAACTTCCTAACTGTCAGGGTGGTTAACATTGGAATACATTGGCTATGGAGGTTGTGGAATCTCCATCACTGGAGATATTTAAGAGCAGGTTAGATAAATATCAGGGATGATCTAAGTGAGGGTGCTTGGTCCTGCCATGACGGCAGGGGACTGGACTTGATGACCTCTCGAGGTCCCTTCCACTTCTGTGATTCTAAGCCTTTTAACATTTTATTATTTTAGACTTAGTTTTATATTTTCATCTCATAATACCTTTTAGGGTTTTGTGCATTGGTCTAAGACTAAGTTGCCACTAATAAACTTCACTTTGCTTCTTCCCTGCCAGTTTAGGAAATATAATTTATATAAGCACAATCTCTAAAACTGGGACTAACTACTAGTGGGGAGGGAGTTTCGGTCACAGTAATGCTATTCGTTAGATATGATCTCTGGAACAGAATGAGAGCCTCTTTCTAGCCTGAAATGTTCTTGTGTGTTTCCGATTTTCGGGAACGGCACAACACTAGACAACTCTGATCTCTCGTTCAGTGCCATTTTAAGGCCCACTTGCCCAAAGCAGAGCAAGCCTAATGTAGGGGCCATGGCATTTGACTCAGGGTCCAGAAACCTGGGCTTTCTTTCCAACTCTGCCACTGACCTACTGTGAGACCTTGGGTGAGTCACTGTCCCATGCCATATTGCTGATTCAAATCCCATCCTTTGTCTGCCTAGAACAGGGGTGGGGAACCTACGGCCCGTGAGCCAGATCCAGCCCTGGCTTACTTTGATCTGGCTTGCAGCAAGTCTCCGCAGAATGGGCCGGAAGCCCTGAACTTTAGAACATGAGCTCTTTGGGCAGGGACCATGTAGTACAGTGCACTTGTGCTGCCCTTCCCACTGGGGCCCTCACTCCTGATCTCTGGGCGCTCTGATAAGAAAAATACTAATATAATAATAAACCAAAATTCTGTGGGGATTGCTTTGAGCAGTAGCCTGTGTCGTTGTGGTGCTCCACAAGGGCATCCCAGATGGCCGCAGAGCTTAGCCCATGCAACATCCCTCGGTCTTGGAGCCCGGGAATTTTTTAGTTGTAGCCTGGTTACAGGTTTCCAGAGACTCCTTTGATTTAAGAAAATGAGCGAAGCCCAAGTATGCACCCGCCTTGGCTGCCTGGTCTCTTTCCCGCC